TTCGGAGCGGAGGTGTGTGTGGTGGGGGTAATGAGCGAGTGGTCAGCGCCTTCCGCTCCCATGTAGTGGAGGAACCCCGGTTGCGCCGTGTGAAGTGCGTCACTTTCCCTTTAAAGCTAAGAAGCGAAGAAAAAACCTGGTTGTGGGAGCATAGATATATAATACCTTTAGGCCGGCCACACCATGTTACATCACTAGCATACGTGTGTTATCGATAGAGGGGCATCGGTTTTAAAATGGCGTAGACTCGCAGGTTAAACTGTACAAACTAAGGCAAACCGGGCGAATAACGGGCAAACTAATCCGACGGTTTCTCTTTTGTGAAACGCACGCGTTCATCAGCCAACAGTTCAACGGTTCATTTGCGTGCATGTAGATGTCCATTGTTAAGCCACACCCCGGCCACTGATACATGTGGGTTTTAGTTAAATGCAATGCACAATGCCCGTCTTTGGTCGAGCACATTCTGGGTAGCCGTTCGTAGCCGTTTCCGATCTTTTGGTTTATATATATATACATATATATATATATATACATATATATATACATACATACATGCATAGGAGCCTCGTGCTAGGTCAGCACACTGGTTAATGGCGAACATGATATCCGAATTCGTGCTGTTGTAGGGCCGTTGGCGTCCTGTTGGTCGATTTCAAATACATACGGCACTCGTTAATTGCGTGGTGCCCTCAGAGCGTCAAGTTTCCATCACAAACTTGACTGGGCTCAAATTACTAGTGTGATATCACTCACTGAGATGTGGCCAGTGACATCGACGGCTTGCGCTAGGGCATACTCTGTGTATTGAAGGTGCAAACCTCATCGGATTATCAGCCAAAAAGCCCTGTCACGTGGCAATCTTCTAAGAGGATGAGACTGTACAGTTCGCTTGGCTTATTCATTGTTTCCTCACTCACAGTTTGACCACCCGTTCTACTACAACTCCTGCACCATGAAGAGCTGCTGCTTCGCCGGCAGCCGGGACCAGTTTGTGCTCTCGGGCAGCGACGACTTCAACCTGTACATGTGGCGGATCCCTGACAATCCAGGTATGAGGGCGCAGACATGAGCCGTGCTGGTGCGTGACGCGCGCTGGCCGGGTGTGGCGGCCACGACTTGTGTGCCGTCTGGACTCCCCAGGCATCAGTGGTGTGTGCTGGCGCGTTAGTCATCACTGCGCCGTGGTTTTATGGGGCACGGACTGTACCCGTGATGTGGGTGCAGTTTTCAGCATAAGTTATGAGAATTTTGAAGCTTTTCAACCACGCAAACAGGTGGATAAAGCTCCCCAAAATTTTGCATCCTTTAAAGGTAATCCGTAGCTAGTAGGTTAACTGAGTAAAAGCCCAGTCTGTTACATCGCCTCAAGTAGTGAACGGAAGTTAATCCTCGGAAACTAATACATTTCTACGTGAACTTTTTCCACTACTTTCTATGACATAATTTTTGCCCTGTAGACATCGCCGAATGGTGAAACTAGCTAATCTGTATTATCTGCCGTCCAATCATCCTAATCCATGTTCTACGCTATATGTGTTCATTTTACAGTTGCACTTTTGTGCAGAAAGGCTGTAGACTAGAGTTGAGAATGTGAAGCAATTTCGGCTTCGAATCCCGAGGAGAGTCGATTTGTTTTTAGATTGGGATTCGATGTTTTGATAGAAGTAAATAGATTCAAATAGACTGGAATCTTTCCACCGAAATGTCGAACGCTCTTAACGTTTCTGTCAATAGAACGTTTCCACCTAGGCCAAAGGAAAAGGGGAGTCATTGTCACCAGCCTCTGCAGGTGTCGAAGTTGAGCGTGGGCCGGGTCACGGACTTGTCCATACCATATGTAGTGGAAAAGTGTATGTTAAAGTAAAGAAGTAGGTAGGCGTGGTGTAGCATCCCTTTCCCCGGGTGTAAGCGAATACACAACATATATATATCTGACCTACCAATGCCCTTAAAATTGTGCCGGGCATGAAATCCTCGCAGGTAGAAAGCTTGCCTGCATGGATGCAGGTTTGATTCGGCAGTGGCTGGCCCGGCCAGCTTACACTCGCTGGGTGGGCGTGGTCAAAGCACTCGCATTCTAGGCCCTGGTACTAAGCGTACTTAGCGTGCGTTTGCGTGTGGGTGGGGCGTCAAATCCGCCCCGCCTCCCTAAATGCTCAGAAACCGTGAGTGACGCGAAACGCAAAAACAGACTTGAAATTTTGCTGGGTGTGAACTTGTTACACGGACCTTGCAGGCATATAGTCGCCGAGCGAGATGTGGTGTATATGAAGCAAATTTGAGCCAGGAGCATATGATACATTGAGTTGCGTGTTCACTTTATGTGCCTCGGGATTCGGCAGTGGCTTTAGAATTCAAATCGTAATTTGCCAGGTTTGAATCCCTGTTTCCAAGATTCGGGAATTTGCAAGATCCGTTTATGCTTCGAAGTTATTCGAATCATGCGAATCTGAACCCTCAGCTGTATTTGACACCCACGTGTTCCATCATTTCCTAGGCAGTTGTCCTATCGTGGTGACCCAGGCACCCTTGGGCTTCACTAAGCGGAATTAGGATATGACGGTCAGCGCCTTGATTCTATCTGCAGCTCCCTTGCCTTCAGTGATGAACGAGACTCAAAACTTATTCATGAACAGGCTCATATATTTGGTGCCATTAGGGAAAGGAACAGGATTCGGGTGGCAAAAAAAAAATGCGTACAAAACGTTCGATACATAATACCACCGTCTACATGTCTCAGATCCTCCAAATGCCGTCCTTCGTTCTGGGCGTCGTGCAAGCATCTGCGCAGCTGGCTCATACGCCTGCCGTCCTCGTCTTGTCCGGGGTATCCACACTGCTATGTCTCCAAGGTTTTCCTGGCAAATTACGATTGTGAGGAGGTATGTTGATACGGATGCCGACAGAAGATTGCTGATGGGCACAGTTCGTGCCAGTTGACATCTGTTCACTGGGATCAAAAACCACTTGCTTGAGAAGTGATAATAAAGTGAAAATGGATGCATGCAGTTGCGAAGGTGGCTATTTTTCCCTCTTGGCACATCGCGGAATAAGTACCGGGTATCCGAATCATAGACGATAGTTCTGGGAATTGAGTACCACTTCCACGCTCAGAGCCAAAAGTGGCTCTGTGGTATATCAAGCTTTCACGCTGCTGGTGAGAAAGTACTGCCACTGAAATCACACCCAGGATTTCGCCCGGGAGGTGTCTGGAGGCGGGTCCAAACGCAGCCCCTATACAGTAACAACATAAAGCTTGTCAAAGTCCATCATCCTTTCCCCATAACTCGATATCCCAAGGTCCAAACTCCTGAATCCCCCACACGTTTAAGAAGCTCTACCCCCCACTACCCTCCAGAGGTCAAGGCTCCAAGCTCAGTTGGAAAAGTGTTTAAAATGTTGGTCGTATTGGAGTTAACGGACGATAATTTAACAGCAGTCAACGATTCCGGTGAACGTTCTTGACGTTGTAAAGAGTTGATTCGCTAACGAAAAAACTTTAACAAATTAATTAACGTATAAGCCGCTTAACGGGCTCGTGCCCGCCTCTGCACGCAAACAGCAGCAGCGCCGTGGTCCCTCGCGCCGCCGCCTGTCAAGGTACTCGCCACCAGAGCGGCAGCCCAGCACACAACCGTCGGGACTCGCAGTGACGCCCCTGACCGTGACGCGCACGCGCGTGTCCCGGTCTTCACCTCCCCGCGGGCGTCACCGGTGACGGCGTCAGCCGCCGCCGTCACGTCGCTCCGCCCTGCCCACGGCGCACGCTCCTCCGTTGCAGAGACGAAGCGCGTGAGCCGCGCGCACGCCGTGCTGCGTGGCCATCGGTCGATCGTCAACCAGGTGCGCTACTGCCCGCAGAACGGCCTGCTCGCCTCGTCCGGCGTCGAGAAAATCGTCAAGGTGAGGCTGCGCTGGCCGGCCGGCGCCGGTGGTGGCGCCGCCGCCACCTGGCCGCGTGTGCTGCGGCCTGGTCTGTGAGGCCTCCCCGGCGCGTGTGGGGCCCGCTGGCGGGACCGGTGATCTGCCATGTAGGACCGCGCGGTCTGACCACCTGAGGCTGGCCGAGGCCGATGACTTGATCAGGTGGTGGGATGGAGACCGGGCCGTCCGTGGCGTGTCAGGTGCCGGGTCTTTGTCGGCGTGCGTCAGCCATGGCGCTGCTACCGGATTAGTCTTGTTGTTGCGGTTGGCCCCATATGCCCCATATGGCCCCATATGCTACCCTGCCGGCTCGTCTCCGGACGGATTGGCGGGAGTCAATGCTGTGTGAGGTGGAACGCAGCGTGAGATGCTGATTCTTTGGGTGTGTCGCGATAATGAACACCATACTTGCGGCGCTACCCAGGTGGAGCAGGACCCCCTCCGCGCGCCCAGTGGTGCTGCGGTATTGAACACCATACTTGCGGCGCTGCTTAGGCGGAGCGGGACCCCCTCCGCGCGCCCAGTGGTGCTGCGGTATTGAACGCCATACTTGCGGCGCCGCTCAGGCGGAGCGGGACCCCCTCCGCGCGCCCAGCGGTGCCGCGCAGCAATATGTGACGGTTCGTCCCCCTCCCCTCGTCAGCTGTGGAGCCCGGTCCAGCTGCCGGATAGCGAGGGCGGCCTGACCTTTGACCCGGAGACGGAGCGCAGCTCGCGGCGCATTCCCCGTCAGGGCGAGTACGTCGATATGGTGGTCAACGCCGGAGATGTGAGTGCTGGCGGGGGCTGTCGGGCGGGCGGGAGAAGTGATCGCATCAAAATGCCGTTGTGGTGTTGATATTCTGATTGGGCTAGCCAGTGAGCACACTTGCAGTCTTCAACCTGGCGCAGCTGTGGTGCGATTCAAGCACCTGTCCCCGCGCCCCAAGACCACAATATGCGCTAAAGTACTTCGTAAAAAGTTTGCACGATCCCAGTGTTTGAAGCACCCTCAAATTTCCCGAGACCAATTAAGCATATGCCAGAGCAACTATGTATAACGCATTACGCGGCTGTGAACCATGCGATACTGACTAGGTGTGATGTTTTTAGGGACTTGATTGTCTTGTGAAATACTAAAAAGATCATTATTATTTTATTGCGGCTCGTGGCTATGAATATCGTTCACTCAACCGAGTGGGAGTGCTTATCACATTGGTTGTCCATTCTTCAATGGCCTGGCCGTTCGCTGCCAACTCTTGCGCCGCCTCTCCGTTCACCTGTTCCGCGCTTCTCCCAGATATTCGGCAACGACTTCAACCAGCAGTCGACGGACGAGGACCCGCGCATGCTGGCCTTCTTCGACTCGCTGGTGCAGCGCGAGATCGAGACGCTGACCACGGAGACGGACAGCAGCACCGAGGAGGATGGGGCGCCGAGCCGCCGCCGGGGGGACAGTTCAGGTCAGGCCCGCCGCGCGGGTCAGGTCGGGTCAGGCTGCACGAACACAGGTCAGGGTCCTAGGCTTTGGGAGTTTCACGGTATTTGTGGGTCGTCACGCACAAATCATGTTACGTGCAGAACGTCGTCTTGAAAACGAACACGACACACGTCGGTGCGCTCTTTTTATGGAGCGCCAGCGACTGCGGGGCCTAAATTAACGATCAGGGGCCACGGCGCAACCGGGGATCAGGTCGGAGGCATGAAGCCCCGGCCCCGGTACTGCTCAGTCCAGACTGGGTCATGTTCCTGGGGTGGTCAGATGAAGCATTACTAAGTCCCGGCTCCGGCACTGCTCAGTCCTGACTGGGTCATGTTCCTGGGGTGGACAGATGAAGCATTACCAGGCCTGGGCGCCGGCACTGCTCAGTCCAGACTGGGTCATGTTCCTGGGGTGGTCAGATGAGGCATTACTAAGTCCCGGCCCCGGCACTGCTCAGTCCTGACTGGGTCATGTTCCTGGGGTGGACAGATGAAGCATTATCAGGCCTGGGTGCCGGCACTGCTCAGTCCAGACTGGGTTCCTGGGGTGGTCTGATGAGGCATTACTAAGTCCCGGCCCCGGTACTGCTCAGTCCAGACTGGGTCATGTTCCTGGGGTGGTCAGATGAGGCATTACCAGGCCTGGACGCCGGCACTGCTCAGTACAGACCGGGTCATGTTCCTGGGGTGGTCTGATGAAGCATTACCACGCTACGAGCGAGGAGGCCCCAAAAGCGGGGAAGGGTGGCCGTCACACTTAATGTGTCGCGGAGTGCCATGACCTATGCCCTATTGTCTGAAATGGGAGCGTCCGACCCCTCCGTGTCTGCTATTGGACACGGCACCCACGGGTACGCGTGCTGTGAATAATATATTTGGTGTTATAAACCGTCAAATAGGAAACACGTCAAATAGCTTGCTGTTCGCGCTCGAGGCCGACGTGGACGAGTGCGGACCCGATGCGGAGCCACACGTCACCTTGCTAGAAGTACGCTCATGGCTCCCGCTCCTCGCGTGGTAACATCTGCAAGCACGCGCGGCCTGCAGCGTTGGCCACCATCCGCCCAACGCGCGGCCGGTGTCGGCAGACGTGCGACGGATTACGGCGGTGCTGTTAACTACCGCTGCTGTTGTGTTTGGTAGAACAGCGAGGAACCACGTGTGTTGCACCAGTTCGACGGTGATCCGCCCCCTGGATACATCCGTCAGTGATGTTGCTAAAGCGCAGAGAAAATGAACGCGGCATGCACGGCATTACGGCGGTGCTGCCAATTACCGCTGCTATTGTGTTTGATGGAACAGCGGGTAACCATGTGCATTGCAACAGTTCGGCGGTGGTCCACCCCCTGGATAGCTCCGTCAATGATA